ATCGTCAAAAATAGTCTGAGAATCGTGGAAGAGAGAGAGAGAGGACATACGCTCTTCGCGCCGGTTGTGTGCCGCGGGACTCTCGGATCAACTCGGGCCGGAGGAGCCGGCGTGTTTTGGAGCAACGACCTTTCTCGCGATTTTCAGAGGCGTAAGACGAGCCGATGGCACCTCGCGCGCTGTCCTGATATCGCTCGTTCTCCCGCGAGCAATCGATAATTTTCGCGATGTTATCTCGCAGCCTACAAAATTTCGCCTCGACGTCGTAAAGGCCGAAGCTACGATTATGGGCGCGATCGTCTGCGCGACCGCGAAACGCGATACTCGAAGAGGCGTATACGATGTCCCACCTTTTTCTCGTTTTTTTTCCCCCCTCGCCCTTCGGCTCTTTTTTACGCACGTGGCATAGTCGGCAACAAATAAATGTCTTAGTATCCGGCGCGCGTTCTCTACCTACGCGTTTGTGCCGGAGGGTCGCGCACTCTCGAGCTCGCGTCTAAAGAGGAGTTCGAAGCGGATTCGCGTAGTTGGAAGACACAGTGAATGAGGAAGGGTGTGAAAAGGAAAGACGAGGAAGCGAGAGGGAAGGACCGGAGGAAAGGGTAGGGTAGGCAAGGGAGGGCGAGGGGAGAAGGAGAGAGAGAGAGAGATAGATAGAGAGGGAAAGAGACGAGTGCGATCCTCGTTTCGACGGGATGGGAATAAGGAGCAGTTTATTTTCGGCGGCCATATGTGCTGGTTATTTCGACAGTTTGCGCGGCCATCCTAAATAGAGGCTGCGGGCTCGTCTTCGAGGAAGATGTTCTCGGCTTGACGTTCCATCCCAGTGTGATCGTCGGCATCGATTCCCCTGGAGATTCCAAACGTTTCCGGACTCGCTAAATTTTACAGTGCACTGGCATTGCAAATCGACATATAAGAAAATATGGATTGCACGCACAGCTAACGAACCCGATAAATCTAGCGATAACGGCCCAAAAAAAAATCGATTGTCGTTATCTCGTATCGCTGTCTCTGTTTGAAACGAGACCGGGCTGATTGCCGCTGTCGTCGCGATGTATTTCCAACGGAAAATTCGCATTTCTAACTTTGAGGACGGCGCGCGCGCGCGCGCGCAATAAAGATTGACTCTCTCGAAATAGATTATCGCCGGCGTGTGAGGTTTCACCCATTCTCCATTCGCTAAGTATAGCTGCGACAGGTCGGGAGAAAGAAACCGGGCACGTCGTTCCGGGCATTCGCGCGCGTTGCTCGGGAGCGCTATTGGACGGAGAACTAGGAGCCGCGAGGGAGAGGGCAGGCGCGGGGGATGGCATAAACATATAATTGGCCGCACTTAAATCTCTATAACGCGGTAGTAAAAATGCGCGGTACGCCGCGTAAATCAACACACAGACGATATGGCTTTCTACCCCCGGTTGCCGCCGACGTCGTTGACGTCCGCCGCCAAGAGCATCCTCGTAAACGTATCGCGCAAGATACACGAGTACACGTGTGAATGAGCGCACTCACGTGTGTACGTTCACCGGCGGATTTTTGTGTGCCGCCGTTGTATATTTAGCTGGGAAGAGCATTTGCACTTGTCGATACACGATCGTCGTACGCGAGATGGGTGGCCGCTGTCAATTTTTACAGCAGACGCAGTGCACGATACAAATATTCCTATATAGTTTATTGTTAATAAGTGACGCATAAAAAGGGAGCTTCGGGGATGCAACGCGAGTTAACGTTGTAGTCCAAGCGAGCCTGGGATTTCCTCGCGGAAAGTCACGCTATCTTTAGACCGTGAAAATTTTGAAGTCGCTCACCTATTTCTCGGCGAAGAGCCTGCGAACGTTTTGATTTAATTGTCACCGCATCGTTAAAAGTGGCTGGAAACAGGGGCGAAACGTCCAGTGTACAATTATGCATCATATTAATTATTAAAGATCGATATAACATTTAATTTGCGCACTGTCAGCCGCGTTGTACCCACAAAGCCCTTTTTCTCACCTGTTAATTTCATTATCGAGAGTTCCTTGTGTTACTTGTCCATTACAAATAATTGTGTTGCTTAATGAACAATTACGACGATGATTGAAAGCCCATGATTTCTCGCTGCGAAAAGCAAGAATATTTTCTATCGATTGCCCGAGGGCAAGTACACGATAGAAATGTACTTCGATTAGAACGAAGCGCTAAAATGTTGAAAAAAAATAAGAACATCGCTAGATTCTATCGCAAAGTTCACGAACGAGAGCGTACCAGGACGGACGTTCTCGACGTGGGTTGTCGATCACGATCCCGATCTCGTGACGCGCGCGCTCGATTGCAACGACGAGAAACGACATTACATTATCGATGACAGCTTGTGGGCGGATGATCGTTCGTGAAATACCAGTGCAGCTGGATTACATATGTACATTAATGTGTATCGGAGAGTATCTAAAGTCAAATAAGATTTTAACGACCTGTCACGGGAAACCGCATTATACATTACGAATGAATTATCGCAATCACAACGTGACGTTTTCCTAATGCGACTTCGCGGACAACTCTTTATGTGCCCGGCGATAAATCTCAATACTCTGAAACGTTTCACACATGCGCGCGGGGATTGATTTCAATTACATGTAGGTTTTCTGCGACGTTTGACCTGTCGTTTGACTCTTCCGAGATAGAAATCGGTCGATTGCGTTGCGCGTTTGTCGTTACGGGGGTGAATTAATCGGGCTAGAAATTACAGGGCGATTAAAAAGGATTCAGTCTGGCTCGCCGAGCGTGATGAACAATGCTCCGACGAAGGAGACCATTTTCTTTCGCCGGGACACCGATAGGTCGTCGCCGTACGGTGCCGCGCGGCACAGCACGGTACGAGCGGTACGCTACATTAACCCGATTCAGCGAGTAAATTAACTGCAATCAGAGGGACGTTCCCGTTAGCCATTCCGTTATTTCGCTAGCCACCCGCCGGTTCTATGTGCTCGCAGGCCGCCCTATTCGACTTTGCGGACACGCCATTAACCGGCCGTCTGAGCCGTGGAGAGGGTGAACGTCTAACGTCGTTTTTGTCGCACGCGCAACGACCGCCGCCAATGGACCTAATGCTCCGGATGGCAAACAAACTTGGTCAATGAGAAAGAAATGGCCGTCGCGGAATCGCCGAGTCTCGCGAAACCAATCAATTGGACGGCACCGCGGCTCGGCAGCTCGACGTCGTCGAATCGTCAGCTGATCTCCAGTGGCGCGGGATACGTCTCGTGCGATAGAACGCGGTTTTTTTCTTCCGCGACAATTATAAATTACAGGTGCGAATTTTTTTTTTCGCCGCATTAAAGCTTCGCCGATAACTGACGATTTTCCGGGGGAAATTGCGTTTCGTAGAATTTGTCGGCTCATCGGAACGAATCGCGTCACGACACGATAAATATCCATCACGCCGAATCGCAGAGCCGAGGCGCCTTTTCTCGTTTTCTCTCCCTCGGAGCGTTTCAAGAAAGCGGCACACGCGAGAATACGTCGTACGCGGCACCAATTTCCATCGATCTCCCGTCGTTCCGGTCCGTCCGCTCTTACGGCGGACAAATTTTTCGTTTTGCCCGCCTGCCCGTCGTCCTCCCCTTGTCCGATGACGGTCCGCTCGACGAATTCAAAGTTAATCTCGGGCACGAGACCGTTCTTTGGCGAGCGAGAGGGGTGAGTTGGCAGCGCCCCCGGGCGACCTGTCATCGCGAACCCCCTGGGAGCGCCGGGCTCACCCTGATCTCTCTGTTACGATAGAACCTTGGGAATCGGGGCCTTGGGCATTACGATAAGGCTCGGTCATTTATAATCCGCTGGCGTAAGTAGCCTTCTCTACTCTCCTTTCTGGCTGATTGCGAGAAGAAGGAACGAAAGAAACCTCGGACTTCCGGCACCCAGGCTCGTGGGGAGATTGATTCGCCGGAACGTCACGTGAATTCCGACGAAATTGCATTTTATCCCATAATCATCCACAAACTTGTGTCACAGTGGGACAGTAACGGTCACTCTAGTCGTATTATCACAGCTGTAATCAGTGATATTACAATAATGAGACGGTCAAGAGCCAGAAACGGACGAGCGCTAGCAGGTGTTGTTTTGAAATAAATGGATAAATAAAATTTATCGTCTGCAAATCCAGCTGAAACAGCGTACGTTTTGACATCACTTTGTCTTTCTCGGCACGCAGTTTGAATGACGAAAAGAAATGATGCAATAAATAAATTAGGAATAAACTAATAAAGACAGTCAGAAAGTGAAAACAATGAATAATAGCGCATCAAAATTTAGATAAAATATTAAACATGTTTTGCAATATACAGTAAATAAAAATGCGCGGCTTGTTCTTTATGCGATGTACGAATCACTCGTTTGATAATATGAAAATATGACGTTCGGGCTTCTGGAAAGCGTCTTAATGTCTCTCATTACTGTCCCGCTTTTGAGTCCCCGGTGACTGTGCAATTAAAAAGCTAAGATTGATAAATGACGGAGAATTAATGCACGCGGGTGGAGAAGAGGCGAAATGGGATGGGGAAGGGGCAGGGGTACGTGGTTGAGCCGAGAACGAAGCGTGTGTACGGGGTTCTCCGGGTCGAAGGGGGCCGGGTGATTGCGGGTGGCTTAATGGTGTTTGTATGCATGGGAACCAGCCCTAGGGTCGAGGTAGTTATCGCCCACCAGGGTATGGACCGAAAATCGGAGCGCAGTTTAAACGCGTCGGGAATTCTGCTTCGACGTGCGAGGTATCTCGCGATTTAATCGCCTACCGAAATTGATTTCTTTTTGTTTATCGCAATCTTAAACGATCTAAGGTATGATTTTGCCAAAGTTTGCGCGAAAGTTTGCGCTTTGTACAACGATCTTAAAAATACATAGGAACATATTTGTCCCCCGTCGACAAATGGACGTGAAATAAAAGGACCAGGAATTGCTCGGGAAATTTACATTAATTACCGAGGCGGCACGTGATGACCTTGGCTCTCTTCTTACTGTTGCAGGTGACGCGAGTAACGCGAGTATTGGTAGCGGCGAGGGCACGGGTGAGGAAGACGACGACTCCACAGGAAAGAAAAACCAGAAGAAACGGGGTATCTTTCCTAAGGTTGCGACGAACATCCTCAGGGCGTGGCTCTTTCAACATCTCACGGTAAGTACCCTCTTCTTCATATAGCGCGTTGACGATATTCTCTGTTTTCGAAAGATATTAAGCAGCGCGACGTCGCCGTCGCAGAAACGGAGCTTTCACTCGTCGCTTGTACTCGCGAATGTCTCTTTTTCGCGTGTATATTATTGAAATAGGGGGAAAAACCATCGTTGACGTGTTTGTTTGTAGCTACTAAAATCCGCGAAACACTTTGAAATCGCAACTCTTTTCAATGCAAATATCAAGCTATGCATTTATTGCATCTAAAACTTGCTTTTACCATCGGCAGCGACTTGTGAGTCTCGTACGGCTTTCATATATGCGTTTTGCTCATTTTTTTGGAACGTATTTATATCCCTTACGAATCGCGCATTAACTCTGACTTGACGTGAATTTCTCAGGCGTTAAGTTTTCAAAAAATGTTGCATTTTCCGATAACTTTGTCATTGTTAAAATCTGCGGGCAATTAACGAAAAAAAGAGTCTACTTCGTCGAACGAGGAGGGACGGTTAAAAAAATAGGAGAAAGAGAAACGACGGGAGACTAATCTCGTAATGCCGAGATAAGGAACGATCCCTAGCACGGCGGTGGTGGTGGCTTTCGATTCTACTGGGGCCCCGAGTATCTAATGATTCACGGGTAATCTGAGCCGCAAAAAGCGCAACGCGATTAAGGGGGAGAACGCCAGCCGAACCTCGGCGTCGGCTGCAACCGCCGCAGTTGCGTAACGTTGCACGGCTATTCCAAGCGCAATACATTGTTCCTCACTGCACAAGTTTCTCTCTCTCTCTCTCCCCCTCCCCCCTCTCTCTCTCCGTCCTCCTCCCCCTCTCTCTCATATTCCGGACACCCCATAGATTTCGGGTGTGATCAGGTTACCTTGCGAGAGCGGTAATCATATTGCAGCTCGGTTAATGCCATTACCGCACTGGGGGGAGGTTGGCAGCTACCCTCGAAATCACCCTGCAGCCACCTACCGTTCTCCCCCCTGTCCCCGCTCCGCCCCCGTTTCCCTGTACTGTATCGCGGCTTCAGCAACCCCCTAACAACGTGTATTGGATATGACGTCGGGGATAGTGGGTTCATGGTTTAATGCATATACGCTGTTTGCAGGATGACGATACCGCACTCGCTCGTGGAAAGACGAGCCCGCGGTCGGCGCTCCTCTTGCTCCTTGGTTAATCGCGTCGTCGAGAGCTCTCGCGAATGTTAACGACCTCATACGCGGTGCCCAAGTTAAAAGGATTTTAATGTAAAGCGACGATGCATCGGGACTCGTGCGCGCCATCCCTCGACGACTGAGTTTCGATGTCTGTCGATTCGCTCCAAGTTTGTTTCGATGTACGCCGGGAGCACGGGGAGTTTTAGTCGACGCGCGCGCTAATTCTTCATGTCCTTCGCGTCCCAAATGCTCATACGTTCGTGTCTATCGGTGGCAACTGCATTTTTGCCGCGATACTACCCTTACGCGCGAGATACAATTTCCAATGGCAATTTAGTGTCATTGAAGTAAAATCTTAATCGCGCGCGATTAAATCTTGCGGCGTAATGAAACACGAGTTTGTATTTTTGTCCCCTTGGCGCGTTTATTGGATCGTCGTCAAAAAGGCAGAAACACGTTTGCTACGAGTGATGAAAAAATACCGCGTCCGAGAAACGTGAAATTCGCCCGCGGGCGATTATACGGTGCCATCCGCCAGAAATTACGGTGGTTTTTCGCGACAGTCGTCTCGGGAAGCGCCGCATTCGTCTCGGCGTTATTACGAGCGATTAAGCGACTATATTGCGTCCCGGAATTCATTCGAGAGGGCAGAGGGGGAGGATGCACTGGATACATATTACATCTTAAAAGAGTAACTGGCACGAACACGAACTCGCGTATTTACTCGAGTGCCAAGGTCTTTAAGCGCTCCTTCCGACGTTTCGTCCTTTTTTCCTCGGGCAAATTATGATCTCACGATTTCCCCGTGAATGTTCTAATTTCCCGTGCCCTTCGCGTCGACGATGAGCGATACCTTGAGGGCTTGGAGCAGAATGGCTGTCTTGTACTCTTAAGACTATGTTTTATGTTTTAAGTCTTTGTCTTAAAGTAACGCGCCATAACTGTCTTGCGACTTAAGAATACAAGACAGCCATTCTGCTCGGGCCCTAACAACTTGGAGAGCCCGCAATTCAGGCGCGAATTAAGTTACGCGTCACGCGACATCAACCACAGCGCGCCGGCAACTCGATAACCCGGAAAATGATGACGCCCTACGAAGTTCCTCGACGGTGTTTGCGAGTCGGAGGTATCCGCCGTAAATTCATTGTGTCCAATGCGAATATGCCGATCGTCGCTCATTCCGTTTCCATCGGTATAGAAGCATCGCCGTCGGGAATTCCGGGCCGTGTTCAGCCATCGGCCTGCCGTCGTTTAGCTTAGCTGGTTAAACATTCGGAATCGCGACATCTCGCGCCAAGGAATTCGTTGGGGCGCGCCAATGGTCTATCCCGTTTCGTAGCAGCTAGTCCGCATTGACACGGTAGACGGGAAGCAGCCGAGCGCGCCGCGGCACGCTTGAATAGACATAGTTTATGTATACACATAGTTTAGATAGATGGAGAGGGACCGACAGTGGGAAATAAGTAGCGCTCAATGGAAAAGCGAATGCCGAATGGCGTTGGCGAGCGTTGCGTCGAAGCGCGATAAGTGTGTATAACGGAGAGGCGAGGCCAAGAAAGGCTGAGGGAAGATAAATATCCGGACAAAATTGCAAGGGAGATTCGGCGTATCGGCAGAAGACGTGGAAAATTATTATTACGATTTGCAATATAATTTCGATACCAGGATTATGCAGGATAGACACGGGCGTTGCGAGCAAAGAGGGACATGGTATCGCAATGTAGATAGCGATCTTTCTCTCGTCCGTTCAATGCACACTTTGATGTGAATTGGAGATTTGAGTGGAGAATGAATAAGGACAAGTTTAAAGGCAACCATGTTAATATTTTATCAGGTACGTTTCTTTTACTGGAAGAGATTACACAGTTGACCGAGCGTGATCGTTTTCAATTTGGGTTATCTGTAATGTCGCGGAGACTACATCATTGCTTGGTTTACTCAAACACATTATATAGTTCTTAATTTTTAAATTAAAGTAATATATCCATATGTTCGTGCTCGCACGAGCGCGCTGGCAGTTATTAGTCGGCTATTAAATCGCACGAGAAGGTAGATGCGATTTGCCAGGAAAATTACGTGCGAATATCTGTGCTCCAAGTCTGTCTGGAATTTCTACATATTAATCTTAAAGATAAGCGACACGAAAAATCGAGCTCCCGTACAGTGTGCGACACCGTCCTGTACTTAAAAAAGAGAGAGAGAGAAAGAGACCAGTGCTTGTTATTATTCTATGGCGAATAAGGATATATAAGAAAGGAGAAAATAGTACGATCCAAACAATCGATGTAACGCACAAAACGGACTTCGTGTATACGGCGCCGGGAGTGCAACTGGAGATTAATGGAATTTCCTAAAAGCAAGTTTATGTATTCGTTGGCGCAGATCCCCACACGGGCTCGCATGTTTTGCTGCGTTACGCTGACTCGGCGATATTTTCGAAAATCGCGACGCTTGCCAATGCTCGATAAAAGTTTCGTACGGCACGAACGTCCGGCGCGGCCGCTGTCTTCTTTTTTCAACGGATTGTTTATCGCCGCGTATGAATAATGTAATAGAAGTTAAGTGCATCGAGTCTCCTGAGAGGAAGTCGATGGTGATCCCACTCTCGTTATAAGTACCGTTTCATGCGTTCGCGAGGAGACACGGATCTTCCTACCTTCTCTCACTTCGCAATGCCCATTCGGATTTTCTCTCTCTCGCTCTCTCTCTCTCGCTTTCGCTCTCCCCGGTTGTCATTTTGAAAGCTATCCGCCGACCTCCCCTCGCTGTCAGTCCGACCGTACATACGTCCGTCCGTACAACCGGCGCACCAACCAACTCTGCGACCCTCCCTAAGTTTAATTAGACGGAAGAGGAGCATACATCATGGTCGACTCCGTGTCCCGACCTTCCTCGGGCGTCGGAGTTGGGCTTTCCAGAATTGTGGCTACCGACCTAGTACTTCTCCCCTCGTCGTTCCTTCTCGTGTATACTTTCGACGCTATACGGTATATCGCTGGATATAGAATTTATAACGCGTCTTGTTGCTTCCAAAGGGAAAATTGAAATCTTTGCTACTGATTTCATTTGGACTTTAATGTCGCACGAATACGTGAAACGTGTCGCACATTTGGAGTGAGTTATTTTTAATATATGAAATAAAGAAATGACACATAAGATTTCGGTGTCACTTGGAACGAGTTATTATGCATTGAAAATAATATGAATTAATTAATTTTGCATTATCCGTTAAATAATCATGTTTTGTGGCAAGAGCCTTTTAATTAAAATTGCTGAATTCTTTAATCTCTTATCTATCTGTGTCTATAATTGTTCGTCAATTTTTAAATATTCTACATCTTTAACTTCTATATACTGAATTCAGCATAATAAATATTATTAGGAAAACGTAAGCGTCGCAAGTAAATTGGAGAATTCAGCGGTAAAAATGGAGAAATAGAAGAGGGAAGTAAGATCGAAGGTAGAATCCACATGTATAATCCATTTTAATTTACTCGGGAGACATATCCGTCTAGTTTGCAGTTTCCCGCGACTTTGCTTCTTCCACTCGGTCGTTTCTTTTGTTTTTCAATTTTCTATCTCCATTTCGTCCCACTGTTTTACTGTCTTTGTTGTCATTCCCACTATCCTTTCGCTTGTCGGCCATAACTTCATTCGTACACCGTAGTAGTCTTCTTATATCAATGGAAACATTCTATGAAATTACATTTGCCGACTCGCTACTTTATGGCACTTTGTTTCACTGAATGTTGTCCACAATCGTTTTTCTTAAGCAAAAATTCGTTGAACACGCGAGTACTGAATCAAAAATGTGTATACCGCGCTCTGATAAATATATTGG